CGGTGTCGTGTTCGCTCCATCCCCATACAGAACTCCAGGCATTGCACTGCATAGGTATCACCCAATACATTCTGACACTGATATCCTGGAGACTTCTTGTGACTCCACATCCAGGCAGCGTTAGGCTCGAGCCCAGTTCACAAAGCCGGGCAAAGTGCACAGGACCTCTCAAATTCAAACTTAATTCCTGTCAGCGAGCTCAGATGAACTTGCACATTCCATGTTGAACCTGCAGCAAAAGCCAATAATATTGACCCAAGTTGTCATCCAGATCAACCTCTGTGTGCAAACCAAATTCATAGTGGCGGACGTGCGTGCACATGCCCGGTACATCGTCGCAACAAACCATGCAGATATCATGTGATGCTAATTCATGCAGAGCAAATTCACAGCAGATATCACGACATGCTGAGTCATGCAGACAAATTCACGCCGCTTCAGGGTTTGTTTTTTCCACCCGCCCAGCTGACAATGTTTTAGGGTTTAGGCCTTTTTTTGCGACGAGGCTTGGGTCCATGGGGGGGGGGGGGGTTCCAGGGGCTTTCGTGGTCGGAGGGCTTGGGACTTTTTGTGGATTACTCGGTGCTGGGAGCTTTCACATTGTCATCATGCAGTGCCTCGAGGCAGCAGGGACCCAACTCGAGAAAAAGGTCTCTCTGGAGAAGCACCCCGCATGGTCAGGTTTGGTTGTAAGGCGACTTGCATCTTCCACGGCCTCCGAAAAAACCTGACCCAACCCGGAATCGATGGCTGTTTCAAACGTGTTATTTCCAAGGCGGCAAGGTCTCAGCAGTCCTTGATATCGCACCGAATCCGAAGTATAGCGCGCCGGAAGGAGGCCCGCGGCCCTGCCCGCCTGCACTGCTAGGGAGCTCTGAGCTGCACATGGGCTTCTGGCATGGCCTTTCAGCCTGATTTCGATGATTTCTTGAGGCTTTTTCTCTAAATGGCTGTAGAAACTCGGGCAAAAGGCAGGAAATTCCAGACGGGGTTAGAAAGCAATCTGTGAGAGCAAAAACTGAGGACGACAAGGAAGGTGGCACTTAAGCTCCTTATTTTGGAGCGTCAAGACTCACGCCTTTTTGGCTTTGGGTTTTGGTGAAGTGGAGGGACTTCTAGTTACCTGAACACCCCACGACTGGCTGAAGCGCCCCACACAATTATCATGGGCACAAAAGCGCCAATAATGGTCCTGCTGCTTGTCCTTCCTATTGACGAGCCCTGGTAGCCCTCGAGACTTTGGTTCCAAGCGAAATGGACGCCACCGTGATGTAACCCTTTTGCAACTGGCGTGCAACGTCACGCCAGGACAGCTGACTCGTGATGTAACCCTGAACCCTTTTTTGCATCAGGGCTTGTGCAGCCCTAAACCTCGACTTTAACGGTGCCGTGCCTTGAACCCTCATATAGGATTTCAACCCAAAATTGGGTTTAAGGCTTAAGGTCAAGGGGACACCCGGTCATTTCTTGAACGCAAGAAAGGCTACAGATTTCGGAATGGCTGTGGATAGACGTGCGTAATACCTGTCAACTCTCCCACAAGTAACTTCAGGTTTGAAGTAGGCTGAAGTCGACAAGAACAGCTAATGTGAAGCCAAGATGATGCCGGCAGATTCCCTTCCATTGCAATGCGTCGCAGGTATTGGTGTGCGGGATTGGGGCCACGAAGCCACGAAAGCCCGACACAAAGCCCTTGATAAACGCAGCGATCCAGCGACCCATCCGACTTTCATTAGGCCACAAATCTTTCACAGGAGCCCTGACCCCTGCAACCTAAATGCCGAAGTGCCCCAAAACAGAAACCAGGCAGGCACCTCACGACTTTCCATCTCTCCGCGGACGCCACATCTTGCGTGCAAGTGAGAGTAACTTGCCATTCTGTGAATGTACTGAGAAAGTGGTTTCGGGTGAAAACTCGGATCAGCCGAGGGCCCATGATTTCATTTTGAGATGATACCGTCCATGAGAGCACAGACACCGAAAACTCGCAGGCAAACATTCGCTCTCTCAGCGCATGATTCAAGGGTTGCAAGTTAGGGCTACAAGTTTCCGGTTGCGAGGCGGGCGGGGCGCCCCGGATAAAACCACTGCCTCGTTACGTCGTTTTACTGGCAACATACCCGGTGACTGGACACGTTCAGTTGTCAGTACACCTCCGACATGCAAAACCCAATGCCCCAATCACCGCAAAAGCAGAACCTCCAAGGTCTGTTGAGCCCCTGCGGCTTGAGGGACGTTCGGACTAAACCCCGAATCCCCACAGGATGCCCTGCTCTTACCTGGCTCTCTAAATTATGTTCCCTCTTTAGGCCTCCAAAAACGGCACCCTTCTAAAGAGGACCCTAAAAAGGGACCCTGATTCGAGAACTACCCAAACATGCATTCCAGAAGCCCGCGCCGTCTACCCCAGCTCCACCTCCACTGCAGGCAGTGGGAAGCTCAAGTCGCTGGCTTGTTGCCTCCATAGAAATATGGGAGTTTCCGAAAATTAGGGTCCCTTATTTTGGGGTCCTTATAATAGGGGGAAACCCCAAATGTAGAGGCCTTGATAATTTGAATAGGGTTTTGGGGTATCTTGTACTATAACTAATTATAATAATGAGGAGGCCCCAAAAGAGTATTGGTATCTATTTAGACCCCATAGTCCTATCGTAGTCAAAGCTCAAGCGGCACTGGCTGTAATTTGGAGCTCCTCGATATTTACCTCTACGACTAGGATTTTACATCAGGGAATTACACTGCTAGTAAATTGGGGCCGGCCAACAGACTTGACGATGTTCCGGGTGATTTGGAGCGGAAATTGTGTGCAGCTTTGGGTTTAACAAGTTGGGGTTGAAGGCTTCGGGTTCAAGCTTCAGGGAGCGCAGGCTCTGTAACTTTGTGCAGTTTCGGCCGGATGTATGATGCAAGCGGGCCCCACATGTTTCCTGACCACCGAAATTTCGCAGACAAACATAGCATTGGACTGGCTAGCTGCAAGTAGCTACGACTCGGAGACATCACCACATCCTGGCCGAGAGTTACCGAAGACTGCGACGCAAAGCTTCGCAAGCACCGGTGTCCGAAAGTGCCCGGCTGCTACCCTACAAAACATGGGTCCTAGGTGCACCCCGTACTCAGAAGCTATCAACCAGCACCGTGAGACGATTTCTGCGGTTTGAAGTCGAAGTTTGGCAGTTGACGTATCATTGACGCGGAACGGCTACAGTCAGACTCCTGAGTCAGTCGTCTTGTTCACACAACGAGGCAGGCTTCTGGCGGAGGACTTCCCTAAGCTCGAAGCTTCCCAAATCCGGAAGCCCTAAGTTTAAGTCCCCTAGTTTCAGATTGTCATGACAGGGCTAGGGGACCTGAAGCGCCGATGGGTCACAGCTCTCCCGGCTTAGCCGGCAAGCCTTGCACCTTCGTCGCTTTCTTATTTATGGCGGCTAACTGGGTTATGATAGGGGCTTGTGCATGCAGAGGGCGATACTGATTTCTGCGTAATTACACAGTCCTTTTGACGAGAGGTCGAAGGTCTGCAGACACCCACAGCCACGCCGTCAAGCCAGGCTGGATGCAATGCACAACAGCAGTCACCAACCGATACTCATAGCCGGACTAACCTGTCTGCCCTGGAGACATGGCTGAATTACTCTAAATGCCATAGATGCGTTAGCTTGAAAAAATCGTCGTTCCTGGACATGCTTTGTGGTAGCTTCGCGGAGCGAGCTCTGGCCCCTGCATGCAGCGCAAAGGCAAAGAAGAGGGTGGCAGGGCGTGTGGAGCGAGCCCCAGCCTTGAACAGCAGAGACGTTCAAAATGCTAGGATTTGAGGGGGGAGCTATGAGGCATAGGGTTTAGGATTTAAGGGTTTGGGGTGTTAGGGTTTCAAGAGCTTAATCACTTCCTTTCTTTTCCAAGACGGTCTGGAGTGATTGTCATCAGGGGTCGTCGGGGATACGAATGCTGAACACACTTGCAAAGTCAAACAAGCCAAGTACGAGTAGCCAGACATAGCTAAGCAGTTCAATTGCCACCCAGAACTGCAAGTCAATGTCAAGAGAGGTCAGCAAGCTGTCGAACCGCCGCCGACAGAAACCATTCAGTAATACAACCCATGTTGGACTTTCAAGACTTCGGTTTTCCATTAGAGAACTGAAGCCCCTCATCCCACAGTCTCTTTCAGCAGAGCAGAAGAAGGACTGCGAGCCTTGATTGCGAAGCTCGATATTTCTGAAATCTGGTAGTCCACTGTTACAACAACTACTCGGGTGGAGGCGAAAACCCACCACCAACCTGAAGCTATGGGGGCCCAGTGTTAAGCAAGGTGCATTTTCCGATCTCCTGTACATGCTTTATCTACAGGTTCAGCTCTCATCAGAATTACGAAGCTGACTTGCACTGCTAGGGTTGGCTTCGGATGACTCCGAAACAGCCATGCCTAAACCGCAAACGCCAGCCATCAACCAAATGAAATTCGAGTCGCCGCTGTTATGTCGTCACCAGCCCCCATGCATGCGGTCACTGCCACCAGCACTAGGACCCCGGCTGAGAAGGACTCAACCGTGAGCCTGCCAATCTTACTGGAAATTGCCCCACGGCTTGTACCGGATGTTCACTCACGCGGCATCAGATGCAGTTTGAGATGCACAAGGTCAGGAGTGTGTCAAAATTCCGGGAGATGTCTCAAGGCCATAGAGACAGAGGCCGTTTCCATGAAACGGGGAATTTGGTCGTGATCGGTCATGCGGTGTAACGGAGTAGCACTATGCCAGTATTTCTTGGTGTCTACCTCACCAATCGTCAAAAAATTCGGTTTTATGTTAACCAATAAAGCAAGAGTGTCACCGGTTCAGCTGCAAACCATTGCGCTCGCAAAAGAAACCCGTCTTTTCTGGTCCAAGCAGGGCCCCGCTGTTATTGGGCCGTATGGCCGCGGTCATGACAACTTTAGACTGCTGCTGCGTGGTATGTTCGTTGCACCACACATTCATTCTTTACGAGCAGCAGTCGCGGTCCACTGTACAAGTCATGCCGCTGACATCATCTTCGAAGTCGTCTGCCGGCCAAACTCGAGCAGTTATGAGCTTGGCCTCGAGGTCCTGCTTCGTCTTTCGTAGGCGCTGTTGCTTCCGGGCACTGACGAACTCCTCGTTGAATCTGACAACCCAGGCCTTCCGCTCGTGGTAGAGGGCTGCCACTTTGAAAGCCTCGGCAGTGGCCTTCGTAAGGCAATCTGCCAGGTTGAGGTCCGAAGGGACCCATGTGAAGTAGCATCGGCCATCGTCGCGGATGCCCTTCTGGATGGCCATTGCTTCCACTCCAGTCCTTGAGTTGGACATTCCGAGGAGCGGTGAGTC